AGAACTTCCAAGCTCCTAATACTGGCTCAGTCCCTAGTCAGGAAGTGAGTCCAACATAAGTTTATAGTTTTTAAACCATACTCAAAAGTTAAAGGATCAAAATTCGACTTTCTTTCGAAATAATTTACTAAAAACAAGAGATGAATATACCAAACACGTAACAAATACGATTTTATATAGTACATGATCAAATTTAGATTTCTTTGCTTCTTTAATTTCCTTTTCAAGGTTGACACAAGGAAACACCAAATCACCAAGTAGCCAACTAGTACATATAAGCATATTGACATTCATCATGTTTCTCTTTATTCGGTGTCAGATATTTATATTGAACCTCAATTAAATTTATATTCGCGTTGGAAAATCCCATATTAGGAGGTAAAACACTACCTAACAAAGATGATTCCTTACCTAAGGGGATTTCGAACAGAAAACCTCTGATTAAACCTAAAAAAGTATTTACTACTCTACTACAACTCTGGTCAGTGCATGAAATTCATTATTAATAAAAGAGCAGGGCCGACCATGGACTTAAGGACCATCCTATTTAATGTCACTACTTTTATGTATCTGGCTCCAACTGTTTCACTATTTTTAGTTGTGAATGTGATGCTGACTTTTTTCTCAAAAACATTTATTACTTGTTTGACCTTTTGAATTTTGATTATGATACTTTCATGAATGTGCAAAGATATGACAATGTCAATAATAGGTTCAGATATAGCTAGGGTCAATTTGTCGACTTGGCTCATAAAGAAGCACTTCATATTTAATTTAGATCACTTTTTAAAAAGTCACATGCATGTCTGATATTTGAAGTTTGAAGTTTCAATTGCATAATTGATAGGTCTAATGGACTCAATACTTGTACGAATTTATATTATGCATCATTCTATTTAATCTTTTACCAACTGAACTCTTAAACTCAATAAAATACAATATATCAAACCCCTCTGATCATTGACTATTGACCAGACCTATGTGGCATTAAAATGATTGAATTAGCGAGAGAGTGTGGCTACACGCGCATTGAGGCAAGTAAATATCATATTTGATTTGTAGTGGAGTGAGAAAGAGGCGATGTTAATCCTTTTTTCACCAAAATGGGAGGTGACGAAGGGATTTGTTGGTGGTATGTTGATACGCCGGTGAGGATGGAGAGGAGAAGCGGTCCTTAGTGGTTCGCAGAGGGGTTGTTGATGGTGTGGAGAAAGGAAGATGATAATGGAGAGGAGAACGAGGCCAGTGAGGGTGCGAGAAGTTGGTCACGACGACAAAGATGTTTGTCGAAAGTTGGTGGTGTAGTGGCTTAGGGTTGCTAGTTTATCGAAGGTTGGAGAAGGAGGAAAGGAAAATGATGAGGGTGTGCGACAGAAATGGAGATGGGTGAGGGAGAGAGTATAGGTGGTTTCGTCAGCAAGAGAAGTGGTGGCGGCAACGATTTGGCATAGAGGTGCGGCTATGTGAAGTCCCAAATTTACTTTAAAGAATAAATTAAAATTTTATTATTTTACCTTTTATTTACTAATATTTTTGGTTAATAATTTAAAAAATAGTTAATGAAGATATGCCATGTTATTAATTTATGTAATATGAATTTGACATGTCATTTATTTAAGGGAGAGTGAACTACATATATACATGGTAGGTGGAGTTTAAAAATCTTCTTTTAATTGAGTTTAATGATTCAATTGGTAAAAGATTAAGTAGAAGGATTCATAATACAAACTCGTATAAGTATAGGGGTGCATTAGATCATTCCACCTAATTGATATGTCAATGTCAGATATACATATTTGAAGTTAGGGTGTGATAAGTTTAACTTCAGATCTATATGTTTGATCCCCGCTTATTTTATTGGCAAACCTTGAAAGTCAAATATCAAATTTTATTAAACTTAAAGTTTTGTCCATGAAAGTAACTGAGGTGGATCTAGATATTTGAACTTTATGGGTTCAAACTAATTGTTTTGTCACTTTCTTTAAATTTACTGGGTTCAAGATCTATAATTTATATATATTTAATTGGTGAATTATTATTTAAAACACATATACATAATCTAAGCCAAAATCTATGTGGTTATATGACGTCAAATACGCCCTTGGGGACAAAGGAGGTTAGATACAATGTGCAACGGGGTGAACTTTGAATACTAATTTGTTCACTGATTTAACTCTGTGCGGCAGTCAACATCTATGATGACTTCAGTCTTTCCAACACTTACTCAAATTTAGGACTGTTTTGGCCTAACTCGACTTGAATTTAGGCAACAATGTTTAAGACTTAGGATCAACGTAGTAAGAAACACTATATGAAAGCCAAACGAATTATAGAAAAGAGAACAAGACAAATAACTTAACAGAATACTTAATTTTCAACTTATATTGATTATAGTGAATACAAGAGCACTCAAATCGTACCACCCTGACACTATAAGATCACCCTAGACCTTATACTTAGATTCTGCACTCTATTTTAGTATTCCCTAATACTTAGAATACACAACCCGAAATTAACACTAAGGCAGCCTGCACATTTATAAATCATGTGACAGCCAATCTGCCGACAAGTGTCTTACAAGGATAGAAATACTTGACTTCCTTAGCTTGATCCTATCCTATGCAGTTGACAACCCACAATTGTTTGAGATATTCAAATTAATTCAAACAAGATGCCAAAACTTAGTCAAAGCTGAAATAGGATAAGGTTGCACGTTTTATAACCGACTGTCATGTGCTTGACATGTGTTGTGTAACTGCCGGGCAGATTTGCCTTAGCTTGTCTGCTGGTTGAGCTGCTCATGTGCATGCCACATCCTAACTTAGACTTTTTAGCCTTGCATTGCTCCCGCTCAATGTTGTCATGCCAATGTCCAAATCTGTGGCATTCTCTTATCTCACGTTAGCATCAATGCCCTTTGCATTGTTGTCTTAGCTTTGTCGTTTGTTTGCCCTTGTCATGTTTTTGAATATCAATGCCACACCCACGTGCCATTGTATAGCCTGTACCTTGTCAAGTCCTTACCAAGTTGCCTTTTCCTCAAGTCCTTGGTCCTCACTTGCCACTTCGGAATCAAGCCTAGCTTGATGCCATTGCGCGTAACTTGGCTTTGTCAACAGTCCATCACCAAGACAACTTTGTATGTTTTGTTTCTTGTCAACTTGGCTAGTAAAGAAACACTTCATTTTCGATTCTCATTTTCAAAAATCACATGTTTAAAGTTCGAATCGTACAAATCAATATGTCAACTTCAAATTTATATATCTGAAGTTATACCTAAACAAGTCCAATTTTAGACCTATACGTTTCAAATTCATATCAAATTGTAACTTTAATTTCAAAGGTTTGACATTAAATTTGAAGCGGCGAAATTTTAAATATTTATGATTTTCAGCTATGTCTTGTATGACCAAAGACCAGTTTACTACAAGAGATTGTGAACTGCATCATTTGTCCCTTGTCAAAACTATGCAATTACAACTTTTTTATTTATTATATATATATATATAAAATTCATGTTAATTTATATAATAATCAAAACGAATGATATTTGAGAAATTAATAACTTAGCAATTTTATACATACTTCTATTATTTTTATATGAAAAACATATATTTTTATGATTTTTTACACCAAGATAATGTATAAACATTTTTTATTTTATTTTTTAAAAAACCCAGCTTTTATCTTCTTTTTTTTTAATTATTATTTATGTATAGCAGTATAGGCATAAATATTTTTTTTAAAATTATTTGAGCAACCCTTATTAAAGCAAAACCTCACTAAATTAATATAGGTGGATCATAAAATATTATTATTTTGTAGAGGTATTATTTAATCGATGAATTAATATTTATTAATTTAAAGAATATTTTGAGATACAATGAAGGTTAATTTTGATTACTGAAAATAATCATACTAATTTATGTATCATATTTATTGAATTCACATAAAAAATAAATTTATTATACATAAAGTATAATGAATATATCAAATCATTGTATCTTACTAAATTATGGCTCATATTTATTGAATTCATATAAAAAAATAAATTCATTATATATACCGTACAATGTACATGTATGCCTCATTGTAATATTTATTTTTGTTAAATGATTCACTGTAAAAATAAATTCAAGAATTCAATGATTCATAGTAATAATAAATTCATTATACATAATGTTCATTGTTTTTTAATAATCAAATATTATTCATTGTATCTTTACTAAAAACATTCAATGCATGATGCTGAAAGAAATAAACTACTCCATAGGAAATTTCTTGAAACCATACCTAAAAATGACTTCTCATTTAAAAGGCATTAAAAAATAGCAATGACAGATCAAATACACAAAAGAAATCATTCTACATTTACTCAAAAAGGTTTGCAGTCATGGTAACATCAGAACTTTTGAATGCAATACGAAAAATTAGATATGAGTTTTAACTAGATTTAAATATTAACAAAAAATAAAATAGAATAGAATCACATTTCATTAAATTATCTTAGATATATTTGTACTTTAAAATAATTATTCCCCCTGTCCCAATTTATGTGGCACTTTTCATTTTTCGAGAGTCAAACAGTTTAAGTTTGACCGGATATTTGCGCATAAAATCTTCAATTTTTTTGAAATGAAATTTATATATTTGTAAACTACGTAAAAAATACTATCAGTCACAATAATTGAAAATTCAGAATGTTTAAAAGATCTATGAAAAACTTACGGTAAAAAATAAACTTGTTTGAATCTCGAAATCCGAAAAGTGTCACATAAAATGGGACGAAGGGAGTATTAATTTATAATATTAATAGGACCATATATTTATATAGGGATCTTCTGAAATATATTATCTTATTATTTATCGAAATAAGTGTTTTTTTCCATTGACCCAAATTGAGACCGAAAGAAAATATTATCTTAAAGAGATTATTAATTTACCGAATATTTATTTAGTGAGGTTTTACTGTATTTTATTGCCGTGAATAAGTAAGTTAATATGAAATTAAAAAGTTTAGTAAAGATAGTAGGAAATTTGTGAAGCTAAAGATACAACTCCATGAAGCATTAGTTCCAATTTCAGGGTTTTAGGTTTTACAGAGCTGCCATGGAAGAAGCTGAAGCTGTATTGGGAGATGGAGTACAAAATCCGAGGATACGAGGTAGACATATCAAGAAAAGAGCCCTCAAGAACAAAGCCCTAACTGTTTCTTTCGATGAAAAAGACCTCAAGTATTTCCCTTTCTTTTGCTATATATACGATTCTTGATTTTTGTTTTTTTTTTTTTGGTTTTTTGAACTGATTGTTTTGAATTTGATTTTTAGGGATTTTGTTACTGGGTTTCATAAGAGAAAGAAGAAGAGAAGAAAAGATGCCCAAGTTCAATTGGAACAAGCCCTACGGAGAAAACGTATTGAGGCTCGTAAAAAGGTTCCAACTTTAGCTTAATAGTGTTATTTTGTTGTTAGTTGCTATGTTTTCTTCAATGTTTTGAGTTGAGGGTCATTCGGAGACACCTGTAAAGGTCTGCGTATACTCTATTCTCTCTATTGCATTACTGGAATCATTGAATGTACTCATGTTTAGTTATTTATATTGTTGATATTGTAACTCAAACCACTTTCTTCATTTGGTGACTTCCAAGTCTTGAATTAAGAAAGAGTGAGGTTGACCAGCTCAACTATTGCATCATTTTTATACTAAACGGAACCGTGGCTGTTCAAGCTACATGTTGTCTACTGCTATTTTTCTCTGTCACAGGCTTCTAATAACTAGTCCAACTTCCTTGTAGCTGAAAGTGATGACACGATGTTAGGTCTAGTAAGGAGACTTTTTGGATAATTTACTTCCATGAATAGACTGTTAGGCTAAGATGAATAGGTTGGGATTGATCCCACCTTTGAAAGAGTGGTTTTGCTCTGTCAATACAGCTTATCGAGTTATCAAGCTGAACTTCCTTCTGTAAGGAGCTTGAATCATTCGTTTACTCCAAGTCTTATGGATTGCTATTTGAAAACACTTTTTCCTATGGTAACTGAGTAATTATTTATTGTAACAGCCCTCCTACAAAGTACAATCTTTTTCCAGTCAACATTTGTTAGGGGGTAAACTCACAGAACAGAAAGGTTGATTTCCTTCCCAAACTGTTCTCTGATTCCGTCAAATAACAGATGCATGTATACTAACCACGATGGAACAAGTCCTTATTTCTCCCTTTACCCTCCTTAGCAAAGTGATTTTATAGCCAAGGTTATAAGTGTGGCGTCATGCCTCATGGCTTGTTAAATGAGGTCCTTGTTATATTTTATTTATGTGCATGACAATTACCCCTCAACTAAATAGACATGTATACAAATTCTACCGGTCTTAATGCGAAGCCTATCTATAAACAAACAATGGGGACCAGTGAGCAAAAGCATTTTAAAATTTGACTTATTTTTCTACTTTTTCTTACGGAGATTAGCACAATCCAGGTTATCGTTAAATACCTTCATGGCTTTGAAGTTCCTTGCTGTCTCAGTAATTGTCTTGAATTTGCTTCTTTCGTAGTGGTAATCATTCTAATAACTGTTACTTTTATGATTATGGCTGAAGTGCCTTAACGCATTTTCGTCTGCCTGGTTGCGCGTCAATTGCGTCAAATTTGCTTCCAGTTTAGCAGTGCAGTTAGTACGATCATTCAAATATTTGTTACTTTTATTACTAATTGCAACCTTGATGTAATCAAACTTGTCATGGTGGGGTATCTTACTCTTTCACTTGCTTTTACAGAGAAAGGAGGAGAGAGAATTTGCCATCTTTGGTGGAGCAGCGCCTGATTCAGCTGCTGTAACTGATGAACCCGATGAGGACCTTGACGTTGAAGAGGAAAATGAGCCTAATGCAACAGTCTCAGGTATTCCCTAATGACATTAGTGGAAACTTGTTTAGTGCTGAAGTCTATCCAGAGATCTCACTGAGAATGGTCTGGTCCTCGTTGGAAAAGCTGAGAATTCCTATGTGTAATATCTTTTGATAGTTATCAGCATACTTGTAAACACGTTATTATGTTGTGCAAGGGAGAGGGAATATATCCATAGAGTTCAAATGTAGAATTACACTTAACTGAGGCTAGGGAAGGTTTAGAAACTTAGGGCACCCTTGACTGGCTCTTTTCACTTTATCACACCATATGATCGAATAATTTTCTTAGCTGCTTCAGTTCCCTCTATGCCAAAAATGCAAATTCTGTATTATCATTATTGACGTATAAGCTTATGTAGATGTTTTATTCGCACTATAGCCAAGTGACTGATGGTATCTGAGACGATTAAGCTTCTCAAACTTCCCTGAATTAGTTTTGCTTCAATAATTTCTTTTAGTTTTGCTTCCATATGCTCGGATCTTCCTTTCTTATTTCATAAATATTAATGCTGGTGGTTGACACACAGTATTAGTTACTTTTTCTCTAGACTTAACATAGAAACATGAAAATGGTGTTAGGTGGGCTTTGCCCTTGTGGCACAAGATAAAGTCAACTTAATACTTAATCAGAGGTGAATCCTAGATTTAAGTTTTCATGGGTTCAACCTTTAATGTTCTTTAGCATTATGCGTTGATATCTACTATTTGTTGCAATTTTAGTCAATTTTTACTCATAAATTTGTGTTTCACGTCAAAGGTACCAGGTTGGGTTCAGATGAAGCCGGTAACACTAAGCTACATCTGCCCCTTTACTTGATAGTTGGGATTTGTTTAGCAGCAGTTGTGTAACTTAACCTGTGGATTGATTATTGTTTCTTGTTAAAAAGGTACTACAACATATGACAATGGCGATGTGCAAGTCATCGTGACAACAAGTGAGATCTCTCGTGAAGAAGAAGAATCCCGAGCTCAAGTGCCACCACCATCATCAATAGTTCAACATGCTATAGAAACTAAAAACAGCAAACAAAACATTCCGGTAAGTAAGAAGAAACCATTCAAGAAATCTGCAAAAAAGAGATCTCGACCCAAGCCACAGAATAAGAGAGATAAGAGGAAAGGTAAAAAGAAGAACAAGAAGCAGCAGCAGTAGCATTGTTATCTTTAACCTTGTCACCTTCCCCTTCATATGAAAAAGAGAGAAAAAATGTCTCATCCGTGGCGTGGCGCCTATTTTATTTATCGCGAATATTTTAGCATATAGTATTTTAATTTCTTTCTTACGTTATGACTAAGGTTTGTTCACAATGATTCCTGGCCGGATTATTTTTCTCAATTAATTATTTGTGTAATCTTTGCATTTGAATTATTCTTCCTATGATTCCCTCCCCCTTATGTGATTAAGAAAAAATAAGGTTGCTTTGTCTAAAGGTGTGTTTGGAATGAAGGAAAAAGTTTTTGATTAAAAACTATTTCTATTGAAAAAGAAGTGAGTTTATTTATTTTATTTAGGAAGTAAGTAAGTAAATTATATTATTAAAAAAATATTTCTATGTAGTCTAGCAAAACACTTTGAGGGTAGGATAGCGTGGGGGTGTTGGGTAGGTGAAGAGGAGATAATAAATTTGAAATGACATTTATGAAATTTGTTCTCTACTGAAAATTATTTTCCTCATTTTTCAATGAACTTGTTTTTCCTGAAAAAGAATATTTTGATCAATCAAATATAAAAGAATTATAAAATATTTTCATCCATATGCACTAAAACAATAATATCATGATATGAGATATTTTGCATAATCTTGTGATATTTAATATTAACGTGCTTTTATCTTTAATTTATCATATATATATTTTTTGATGTTTGATTTTTTATAATGGTTTGTGATACATATATAGAAACTCAATATGAATAATAGGTTCGACCTTTTATCAAGACTCTTATATGCAATAGGGTCCAAGCGTGTGTCACATATGTTTTCATCCATGGCAAGTTGCACTCATATCATTATATCTAGGCTAGGCTTGTTTAGACATCAAAAATAATAATTCAATTTTTAAAAATAAATTTGAGTATGCATTAGATTGATTTCTTGAAAAATATTTGAATATACTTGTATTGAATTAGAGGACAAGGGTGGGGATGAAAATTGTACGGACTAGTCAAGGTGGAGAAAGAAGAGCTTGTGTCCTAGATTAAGTGAAGTGCATCAAGGAAAAGGACGATAATATTCTGGTGGAGGAGGAATTTATTAGACAAAGATGATAGTCATACTTCCATAAACCTTTTAATGAAGAAGAAGACAGACGTATTGTGCTTGGGATCTAGAGGTACTCAAAAAGCGTCATAATCTTGAATGTTATAGGCGTATAAGGGTAGAGAAGATTGAGGGTGTTATTCGTAAGATACATAATGGAAGAGAAATTAGGTTGGATGAGATTCATTTGGAATTTGGAAGAGCACATGGCTAAATGGATTGTTTAATGTCATTTTTAGGACGATAACAATGTCCGAAAATTAAAGGTGGAGTACAATGATTCTGTTGTATAAGAACAAGAGTTTACATTCAAAATTGCAACAGCTATAGGAGTATCAAGTTGTTAAACCACACTGTGAAAGTTTGAGAAGGGATGGCAGAGATGAGGGCAAGGAAGAGAATGAAAATTTTCGTAAATCAGTTAAGATTCATAACGGGACGCGCAACTACATAAATTATTCACAAGGTAAGGAGACTGGTGGAGCAATATAATGAGAGGAATAAGGACTTACACCAAAACACTTTTCAATTTTAATGGGGTTATGCCAGGGATCAACTTATAGATCATTTTTATTTGTGTTAGAGATGAATACATTGACGCAATAAGTTCAAAGTGAGCTGTCACAAAGTATGTTATTTGTAGATGACGTTGTTTTGATTGATGAGACTCTCGATAAAGTTAATGTTAAGTTGGAGATCTGAAGACAGACCCTTGAGTCGAAAAAGTTTAGGGTGAACAGAACAAAGACATATGCTTGTAGTGCAAGTTCAGTAACGTAACACGAGACATATATGAAAGTGAGGCTTGATATGCAAGTCATCCGAAAAAAAGAAAAGAAATTTCAAACATTTTAGGTCTATTATCCAAGGAAATAGAGAGATTGACGAGGATGTCACTTACCGCATTGGGAAAAGGGTGAATGAAATGGTGGCTCGCATCCAAAGTTTTGTATGATAAAAAGGTGTCACCAAAACTTACAGACAAGTTCTACAAGTGATAGTTAGATCGACTATTTTACATCAGGTGGAGTGTTGGTCAGTCAAAAACTCTTGCATTGAGAAAATAAAAGTTGTAGAAATGAGGATGTTGATATAGATGTGTGAGCATATTAAAAGAGATAAAATTAGAAATGAGAATATTGGGAAGAAGGTGGAAATGGTTTCGATGGAGACTGAAATAGTTCAGAAATGTGAAAAGGAGATATACGAATGTCATAATGCAGAGGTGTGAGAGGCTAGCTATGAATAGTTTCATAAGAGGTAGAGGTAGACTGAAAATGTATTGGGGAAAATGTGATTAGACATAACATAATGCAATTCCAGCTTACCGAGGATATGACCTTAAATAGGAGGCCCAGAGGTTACAAATTAGGATAAAATGTAAGTAAATAACATATGTTATCTTGTTATCCATTCATACTAGTAGTTATATAGTATGTTTTTCTTGTATTTCGACTATCATATTATTTTGTTTTAGTTACTACTATATTATACGTACACTATTTCATATCCGAACCCCACTTTATAAAATTATACTAGTGTGTTGTTATTGAGTTTCAGGTTTGATGGATTTTTGTTTTATATGATCCGAATCACTAAATATCCGGTATACAAGCCAAAGGCAGGCAGCCATGAAAACAAAATCTCAAGATCTTCCTCGAAATTTCCGCGAAACCTCTCAACTCTTTTTTCTTTCATTTTTTCCCGCTTTCCCTTTTGGCTTTCATCTTTGGTTTCTTTAATTTTTCCTCTTTTTAATCTTCCCGTTAGGAATTTGGGAGCTCAAATTTGAACTGAAAAATCAGATCTAAAGATACCCAATACAGTAATTGAGAGGAATTTCATGGAAAGACCCAGTGGAGAGAAACGTAGACTTGATGTTAGCAGTAGTGAAGAAGGTCAACCTGATAGAAAAAGACCAGCTCTTGCCAGGTAAATTTACCATAATCTTCATTTTAAGCTATAACATCAGGGTGTAGAAAATGTACCATGTAAATAGGTTTTCCTACTTTCTTCTTGAGCTAATTTTGCCAATAGAGTAACAGGGTCGCACTTTGATTTTTCATCAAATTAGTAATCATGTTTCAGTATCTACTTTTATTGAAAGACACTGCAAATTCTTGTGGAGGGTGAAGGCTGAGAGTGATCATAGGATAATGGGGGCAGTGGATAATAAATTTGTTAATAAAAGTTATAATCTTGATGGATATGTTTGTTGTATCATAGCGAAGATCATTGAGAACAGATAATCTGTTTGATGGTTGTTTGGTACTTGGGGGAAGGAAGAGTTAAATCCGGCTTGATGACTAGCCAATTTGTGGTTTTTCTAGTGACAATTGAAGTATGTTCTCCTAAGCTTAATTCTTAAGTATTACATTCCCGGACATATTGATGTGGTGCATCATTTCCAGAGGTTCATAGTGTTGTCTGCTTTTTCATGGCTCAGTTTGTTAAGTGTAATATATGGACTGATATCTCCTGAGGAAGTCGTTTTGAGGTATCTGAGCTACATTTGTGACAGTTGCCACCTCATCTTGCAAAATGGATATGGCATGATTGCTTGCCACAGTAATAGAAGTGATGTAGTAGGTAAGCTACCATGTCTAGTCAAAGTTTTAGCTGTTAACTGTCAGTAGGATTAGCCAGACCTTGCAAAGAGATGAACGGTATCCCCTCTAATTTGTAACTTTGAAAATACATGAGCATATCAAGCCAACTTCTTTGAAATCCTATATACACTTCGGTATCTCAGACCGTCAAATTGGCAGATGCCTCTCTCACAAGCCTATTCTATGTGATGGTCAGTCAATTGTATTACTTTTAGTGTCACCATCTAGATTACAATTTTTTCCTTTTAAAAATATGTTGTTTTGTTCATAATTTCTTTATAGTTATTGGATGTCATATTTTGTGCTTCGATCTAACACGAAACTGTGTGAACTGGCTTATCTTATTCTTTTCTGTGAAGCTGAAATTCAATACCTATTCTAGCTGAGCTCATCTTCTTTGTATCATTCATGGTAACAATTACATCGTTTATTGAAAACTACATGGTTAATGCAGTGTTATTGTTGAAGCGCTCAAGGTGGACAGTCTGCAGAAACTCTGCTCATCACTGGAGCCAATTCTTCGGAGAGTTGTAAGCTATTAGGACCTTTTGTCACTTCTCTTCCTGTTCGTGGGATGCTAAGAAACACTTTCATTGTGATCTCTAATTACCTTAATACATGGAAGTCTCAACCACCCATTCAGTTGTATCTTGTACTGCTGTGACACTATATCTAATTCCAGTATGAGTTGGAAGCTGCAAATATTTACTTATTAGTGTATAACAACATTAACACTTAAAAAATGAAAAAATGCATAAGTTATGTCCATTCGAGCTAATCAGAACAAGTTATAGATAGTTGATCTTGAAGGACTGCTTAGAACTGATGATTATGGCACGGGTTTATGTGGCCATTGTCTGATATGTCATTGTTTTGGATTATAACTATTAACAATCAGAGGCAGATCCAGGTATTGAAATTGCAGGGGGCACCACTATCTTTAATGTAGACATGTTAAATTTTTTTTCTTCAAATAACAAAGCCATATCAATTACTCACTACAAAATTTCGGGTGGAACTCTCTGATTTATATTTTTAAAAAAGAAGCAACCGAAAACAAAACAAAACTGACTGTAACTACTAAAGTGTCAAAAGTTCAAAATTTGGGAAAATTCTATTGTGGGAACCGAACCCGGGTGAGCCTGTTATTTAGTCCACCTGTGCACTTCAAATCAACCAATGGAACCACTTTACCTTTGTTACTAGGGGTGCCAATACATAAATATATACACTATTTAAGATATATACATACATTTTGCCGAGGTTACCGGGAGCCCATGACCCCCCTACCCAAG